TTTGTTAGAAAATAGTAGAATCATAGCCTCCCTATAAAATCAACAGCAGAATGTAAATAATAGTAACAAAGTGCCAACTACATTCAGTACTGTCTAATTTCCTAGGTAATAGTAACATCATAGCTCCTAATAAAACCAACAGCAGAATGTAAAAAATAATAAGAAGGTTCCAACTATATTCAGTACTGTCTTATTTCCTAGGTAATAGTAGAATCATAGCCTCCTAATAAAATCAACAGCAGAATGTAAATAATAATAAAAAGGTGCCAACTACATTCACTACTGTCTTATTTGTTATGTAATAGTAGAATCATAGCCTCCTAATAAAATCAACAGCAGAATGTAAATAATAACAAAAAGGTGCCAATTACATTCACTCCACCAAATTTCGTTCATATTTTATTTTCTTTCAATGTTTCTTGTGTATCTTTACCATGCTACGTTTCATATATTTGTACGATTTGTATATCAATTTTCATACTTGTACAAATACATGTCTTTGCTTGAATAAGTTTTATATATACATGAGGCTTGGATGCTGATAGTATTGATGTAAAAATCATACATCAATGCATGAATATACGCATACAAATCGTACGTCTGTATGTCTTGTGACTTTTTATTTATTTTTATATGTTCATCCCATCTGGGCTACGACTGACCGCAGCTTCTCTGCCAGACTGGAGTTGTACTTCATTTGCAGATTCAGTCTATACTGCAATCCCTTGAGTTGTCTGAGTCTCTGTTTTAAGTATTAACAAACACAGACAATGAGAAGTATTAACAAACACATACAATACAATGAGAAGTAGTAACAAACACATACAATGAGAAGTATTAACAAACACATAAAATGAGAAGTATTAACAAACACATATAATGAGTGGTACTTCAGAGCAAATCCGATTGATAGGTCCTCCCTGGGTTGAGCGCAAGTCTACTCTGGGATGAATATACATATACTGGTATGGTTTAAGCCAAAAGTTCTACATCGGCGATGTCGCAAAAATAACCTACGCTGTCGTAAATTACCCCCGGTCCTACCAGTAGGTAAGGTGCACACATACATACATACATATCTATATACATACATACATACATACATACATATACATATACATACAAACACACACACACATATATATATATATGTATATATATATATATATATATGCATACATACATACATACGTATATATATATACATGCAAACATACATACATACATATACATACACACACACACACATATATAATATATTTATATATATATATATAAATATATATGCATACATACATACATACCAGGTCCAAGAGAGCCAGCTCTTCATCGAGTGGTATGGGTGCGGTGTCCATGGCCTTCTGCAACACCCCAGCGAACTCTTGCAGGCGTTCTATGGTGGCGTTAAGCTTTACCACTCGCTCGTCAATGTTCTGTGGCAATTGGGGCAGGTCGAGGACATCGGCTGCGTAGTAGAAGTGTAATACCACGTATGACGTTAGGGTGGCCAGCACAAGGCAACTACCAATACACCACACTACAGGTACCACAAGGCAACTACCAATACACCGCACTACAGGTACCACAAGGCAACTACCAATACACCACACTACAGGAACCACAAGGCAACAACCAAAACACCACACTACAGGAACCACAAGGCAACTACCAATACACCACACTACAGGTACCTCGGCGTAAAACCTCTAACGGTCAACATTCACTATTTTCAGATAGTACAGTCCAGTATGGATTGAATGAATGTATGTGTGACTATCGTCGTCTGATCTTATCCGCTGGTGGGCGTGGTGTGCTCTGGCACTTGATGTGTCCTTTCGGGTGGATCGGTGAGTTCGGGTGCCATGGTGACAAGGTCGGGTGCGTCAACGCACACCTCAAGGTGGTGTGGAATGGTGTGTACACATACGAGGTAGGTAGGCCATTTGTCCAGCACACGTAGGCGCAAACGTTGAAGCAGTGCTATGTATTAATGCGATCGACACAGATTTCGCTCTGTCTAACGAGCACACTAACGAGCATCCTGATATATGGCTAGGTTAGCTTGCTATATGGCTAGGATAGCTTGTTGGTTATCCTGATATGTGGCTAGGATAGTTTGTTGGTTGGGATTGACTATGTACTGCGACAGTCTAGACACGCCCAAATATATGGACACGATAGAAATGTGTCCTGAACCCTAAACCCTAAAACATATACACGGGTGTTTATATACTCGTGCAGCAGTTACCTTCTGGATCTTGCTCTTGGAGGTCTGCGAGTTTTTGCCTTTCCCTTTCAATCGCACTAGCTTCGTTCTGCAGATACGCTGCGGCCGATCGCGAGTGCGCAATTCTTGTGTTGACGATATCAATCGGTCTCATATTGTCCTGTGGATGTGAGGGGTGTAGGTAAGTAGTAGAGCGTGGGTAAGTATGGGTATAGGTAAACAATTCGGTAGATGAATACCTGCGGATGTGAGGGGTGTAGGTAAATAGTAGAGCGTGGGTAAATATGGGTGTAGGTAAGTAGTAGAGCGTGGGTAAGTATGGGTGTAGGTAAGCAATTCGGTAGATAATACCTGCGGATGTGAGGGGTGTAGGTAAGTAGTAAAGGGTGGGTAAGTATGTGTGTAGGTAAGCAATTCGGTAGATGAACACCTGCGGATGTGAGGGGTGCAGGTAAGTGTTCGGCAAGTATGTGTGTAGGTGAATATTTGGTAGGTGAGTACCTGCGGATGTGATGGACATATGAATAACCCCAGACATGACACACACACCTACATCAGAGAAGACGTATGAACACACTCAGCTGCACAGCGGTAGGTAAACCTGTCCACAAAAGGACATACATGAACAGATAAACGAATACAGCATACATAGAGCACAAAAAATACATGACACATTACATGGGCACCATGGACAACACACTTGCGCAGTCAAGAATAACATAAACACCCCTAGCTAAGCAATACAGCCCGCACATACGTACCCAGTTGCACAGAGGTAGGTAAAGCTGTCCATATAAAGGAAATTATGAACAACTAAACAATTACAAGGAAATACATGCGTACGTACCCAGTTACGCAGGTGTGGACAGGCACCAGACGTCAGCAGCAGGTTAGCAGCCTCCACCATATCCTGGGCCACTGCACTGTGTAGAGGTGTGTCTTTGCCCTGTGGTGAGTGTGTTCGGTATAGGAACGGATGTGTTGTGATGAGAGTCTCGTATAGACCGACCGGTGGTAGTACTGATGCGAGTATATGAGTACCGACAATAGGGAATTGTCAGAGATGTATAGCCCTCCGATGGCTATGAATGTATTCGGGAGTGGTAGAGTGATGTGAGTGTATTGGCTATAAGGACATGTGTAGCATGGATACCATTGTATTCGATAGAGGTGTAGCTGTGTGGGGGGTGTGTGTGTATCGTAGAGGCGAATGTACAGTACAGTCAATGATTGCACTTTTGATACAGACAAGGGCATAAGAGTGTCATGAATACCGGATTCCATGTTTGTTTAGACATAGATATACACTCATCAATCCCTCCGTGCTCGTATGCGTGTGTGAGAGTCACATATGTACATTCCGCCACGAGCACTGTATAACCCTCCTACGCTCCACTACATACAGCTTCGTATTTGCTTCCACCTACAACACATCCATGTGTGTATGTCTGTGTACATACAGCAATGCACACTTCCATCGCGCTTATACCGCTCTGTGTTGGTCCATACACATCACAAAGCATACATAAGGCCTGGTAAAAACTTCGCAATACCCTTGTTTATCTACCAAATTCCTTGCAATGCCCTCTTTAACCTACCAAATTCCTAACAACATGTTTACCCACTAAATTTCCAACAAGACCCCGGTCTACCTACAAGATCCCTAACAACACCCCCGTCTACCTACAAGACCCCTAATAACACCCCCGTTTACCTACCAGATTCCTTGAGTTGATGTCTGCCCCTGCCTGTAGTAGTAGTTCGATGACGTTGGTAGCGCCCCCAAAGGCCGCGTCGTGAAGGGCCGTCCAGTTTCTCTGCATTGCGAAGACAATAATGTATATAATAAATTACTTTTACATGTATATAATGAACTACTTTTACATGTATGTATATTGAACTACTTTCACATACATATACAATGAAGTACTTTTACATGTATATATAATGAATTACTTTCACATGTATATATAATGAATAACGCTTACATGCACTTATAATGAATTACGTTTACATGTATGTATAATGAATTACGTTTACATGTACATATAGTAAATCACTTTTACATGTATATATACTGAATTACGTTTACATGTATATATAAAGAATTAATTTTACATGCATATAAAATAAAATACTTTACATTTTAGGAAGGAAGGTAAATGTACAAATTATGAATTACGAATACACCATACGAAGGAAGATATGAGTATACATTATGAACATTATAATGACTAATACACCTTAAGAAGTAGGCAAGTATATATTATGGGTTACAAATACACCTTAAAAAGGAAGGTATATATATATATTATGAATTACTAATGAAGTAAGGTACATGTATACATTATGAACACTATGAATTAGAAAAACACCTTAAAAAGTAGGTAGATGTATATAATATGAATTGCTAATACACCTTAGGATGGAACGTATATGTACACCTTCTAATGACGTATGCTATACACCACGTACATCTCTACATATCGGCCATGAGTGAATGCTGGAAATTAGTCTTCGCAGCCAATCCCTATACAGTGCAATAATAAATTACCCCGCCACTGATACCGCAGTACTAAACTACTTTACGTATTCAGATGTATAGCGTAGGTGCACCCAACTCCACCCAGCGGGAGAGCACGAGTGTATGCATACCCAATCTTGCCTGTAGCCACTATGGTATATCTCTGTGTAGAACCATCTGTACATATCCTAACGCGTACTACATCCAGAGCTTGGCCTTAAAGCACTCTGCGCGCACAGCCGCAGACTGAGGTTGATGGGACGGTGTAGTATGACTTCCGCACACGCCCATACCAAGCCTATGCGGTACTACAATATATGAATACACCAATATATAAGTATATAAATATACAAATAAACTGATATACAAGTATATAAGTAACTCCCTTACCTGGCCAGGAATGTTGACATCTGCTTTGTGGTCTAATAAAAGCTTCATCATCTCCGGCTGTGCAAACGCCGCTGCGATGTGAAGCGGAGATGCTTGATCCTACAAAGACAGACGGCACAAAGAGGCGGTTTATTACAGTGGACATATGCGGAAGACATATATAGCAGTATTGCCGGACACACATCCAGAATAAGCAAGTAAATGTGGGCAGAAATGTGAAATCCGATGGCATGCACATAGTGCATGAAGGCAATTGTGCACGTATATCTATGGCGAGTATCGCTTTCGTGTAGGTTCGCATATGTAATATGTTTAATCGATATATATATATATATATATATATATATATATATATATGTTGTTATACTATATATATATACTAATAATAATAATGTGTGTGTGTGT